CATGGAAAGGGATTACAATTAAATACATAAAGAAACAACAAAGAGGAAACCAGAATTAAGTAACTGTTGAAATAACCTTTAGTACGATTTAAAAAAATATTGTCCTAATTCAAGCAATGACTATGAACTGCACATCTTCTGGTACTGTCAGCCACATACTGCAGCCAATTATTTACCAATACTTCCAGCACAACTGTTTATTTCTTTGTGAAAAAGCAGATAAATATTATGAAGCAGTATTTCAGTTGCCACCATATTTTAAAATAGCAAATTAAAAATTACTGTTAGGATTTCTTCAAAATGACCCTGTTTAGCTGAAGTGAGCACTCCAGTGTGCAGTTAACTATTGATTCAGTGATGGCAGAAGATCTCTTTAATGCAAGAGTGCTCCAATATATTATCATGCCTGATGATGCATCTTGTATCCAGTAAGTCTTTTTCTTCCCTAAAATATACTGTTGTTTTGACACAAACAGCTTGCTACACTTAAGGATTTTACTAATAAAACATAATGTTGTGTTAGATATTATGACTGTTGCCACAGCTGAACTGCCTTGTCAAATCAATCCTAATATGGCTCCCACAGGCACATAAAAACCTTATTTAGCTATCAGTTATCCTAATCACTTTGTTCAGTTTAAGGGTGCAATACTTCAAGACCCGTTCCAATTTATACATATATGCCCAGCCATTTAATAAAGTCTTGATTTATATAATAAATTCTTGTTTGGAAAAAAAATACTTTAAACCAGCAGTGTTTTATCAAGTGTGTTACATGTCTCCTCATACCCCCAAATAAATATGTAAATATACACAAAGAAGATACTTGCATAGAAAAGGGGAATGTGGAACAGATAAGCTATCACTGAAGAAAAATCTGTCTCTGATTATAAATGAGCCTTAAATGGGGTCCCCTGATCTGCAAAACACTGGAGAAATCCCAATGCCTTTGAAAATCTTTGTACAAAGTTTATCTAGGATAGTTTTCACAGCCTTTGTACCTGTGCTGTCTGAATTCCCAATAAAACAGATGTACTCAGGAAGAGACAGCCACACACAGAGGTGCCAGGCTGCTGCTGAATGCCTGCCCCACTCTCAGCTCTTCCCACATATTGTTTCTTCCCCTGCAATAGAAATAAACCTGCCTTTGTTTCTTCTTGTTCAAAACTACTGCTGAGTACCTGAGTGATACCTTAAATCAAGCTGTGGGGGGAGCAGGAAATTCTCAGACTCGTCCTCATCCTCACCTACAGGAAAAGAAACCAGAACAAGCCAGCAAAGGCCTCATCTCTGCACGTGTTCAGACGGGTCAGGCTCTGAGGCTTTCACAGAGAAATCTCACATCGTGGGAACTTCATGGGACCTACAGCAACAAAAACCTGAGCTAGGACACATTTTTACTGAGCTTCAGACACCACAAATCATTGATTTCAAACGACTTGTATCCAAGACTGGTTCATGTCCACATTTCACACCTTTCTCCTTTTGATATTTCCTCTGTTAACCTGCAGCATTTGTTCGCCGCCCTACAAGAATATTCACATAAGAAAATCCAGATTCAACAGTTAGAAAATGGTAAATTTAAAACAACAATATTAAAATAGATGCTTTCACATGTCTAGTTTATGATATTTAAATGGTAATCTTTTCCATTCATATACTGTTTTTTCCTGCCTCTACCTATTTGGGATAATGAATGAAGCTGCCCTGGAAATGAACCTGGGCTGCATTGGGATTATGTGTAACATTGCCTCACTTGTTCCAGACTATGTGAGTTTAGGAGACACTAGATGCTGTGAGAAGGGAGAGAGATCAACAGTTGAAAGGTATCCTGCAAGTCTGGATTGATTTTGTTTTGTTGTGATCCCAAACAAGTAACTGTGGACAACTCTTTAGAAATGTGAATCTGCACAAGGATCAGCCCTCACCTACTCATCTTTAGGCCCTAATGAGGCCAGCAGGCTTCTCCCACGTTCATTCCCCTTGAGACTAATTCAGAGTAGGAATTTAATTTATGTTCTTTAAAGGGCTCTTGGCTATAGGGCTTCTCTCCCTTCTCTCTACATGGGCAAACTCTGGGAAGCTAAGTGACAAATGGAATTAGGAGGAGTCTTTTGTGTGTTAAACTGGTTGTGCAGAGTTAGTGTGAGCTTTACAGTCCAGTTTCCACGCTTCACACAGCCATCTGTAACACAGGCCTAATTCCAGCCCCTTACCTTTAGGGATACTGCCCAGACCAGATCACTCGCCCCAGTGCAACAGTAGGAATGACAGAAGAGCAGTCACAGGGACTGACAAATTCAGACAACACCCTGGAAAGAAAAAAACATAGTAAGTAGTAGCTTTTCTTGAAGCTAAGATGACACATCTTCTGAACTGAAAGAGCCAAATATCCTTTGAGAGAAGTAATTGTGATCCTGCAATTAAAACTGCTCTGTAACAATGCCAGTATTTACAGTTGCACTGGCAATCCAAGCCCTGCCATTTCCTCAGTCCCTAATACCCAGCTTTGTAACCTGAACTGCTCTGCTCTAATACAGGCCTTTCCAGATTTTTCTTAAAGCAAAGGAAATACATTCAATAACTTACTTCTGCTCACTGGTCAGCTCAGTTACAGAGCCTTCAAAGTACAATCTGTGCTCAAGGACTTTCTTACCTGCTGAAGGGTCTGCCCAGATCTGTGAGCTGCATCCTGCACCAAACCCCAGAGCGAGAGGGGCTTTGTGCTGGGTCCCAAAGCTGCTGCTGGCAGCAAAGAAAGGGTCTGATGGACTTTGGGCAAACCCAATCGGAATTTCATCTAGAAATATGTACAACAGAGATATTCCTTAGGACAATAAAGACTGTAATCTGTTATTAATTAAAGCAATTATGTTTCATGGTATATATTCTAGTCACAAAAGAGACACATGAACCCAATTACTTTTATCTCACTTGTTTGAGTTACAAGAGATAAAAATACATCCCATCCATACTAAGCCATGTCAAACACTTCACCAAAGCTGAAACAGAGCTGTGGAGGCTGATTGCTTTGACTTCAGCAAGGTCTTTGGCACTGTGTCCCAGAACACCCAGAACTCACAGATGCTCCACAAACCCCAGAACACCCAATCCTGCCACTGGGCTTTTCTGAGTGCTTTCACTGTGCCATCCCTGCACATCACTGACCAAAGACTTCGCTAACTTTTATAAGAATAAACAATTTTCCTTTTAATTTAAAGTAGATTAAACTCTTTTTGAAACAGGTAACATTGTAAGAATAGGTTTTATAGCTGCCAGCTATTGGAAAATCTCCTAATTTAGTTTTAAGGGTTGTTTCTCTGTCAATCTATAATATCCAACAGGGTTTTATTTTGCAAAGCTTCATAGTTGGTTTCCCCCAATTATAGGGCAGAGTCTTTAATAACATGAGGCTAACAAACACAGGGACTGAGAACATTTGAGAGACTAAAATTATTTCACTCCAAGTTACATACACAGTGATAATAAAACTGCAGCTATTTTGCTACAAAAACACAGAGGGGAAAAGTTAATTATCAGAAAGAACTAAACATGTATGAGAGAGCACTTGGCTTCACAAACATAAGGGAAGGACTAACATATTCCATTATGTAAATGAACTCAAAGATATTTCACAACTGATCAGCTAGGAGGGACATAATGATTTATAATTCAAATAACTGAGCTTTGAAATCAAATTGGACTAATATATTTCGAAATATGCAAACCTGGGATAATTGTGAAAGTAATGGAAACCCTGATACCAACCCTAATCATTTGTTGTCTTTGTTGATACCTTCTTATGGTTTTTCTTCCTTTTTTTCAGTAGTGATGTTGCTGAAATTATAGTTTGCTTTTAATTCCACTTTATCCTTTAGAAAAAGATTATAATACACATAAAAAAAGAAAAATACCAACTTCTGAGACTCTGTAAAAGCTGACTGGTGTACAGGAAAGTACTGAAATGAAATAAATTATTACTTTAACCTTTCAGAAGAGCCACAATTTAATCTATTTGAAATACTGAAAATTGATCCACTGGATCTAGCATCTTAACAATACACTATTTCTTTCAAAGTAATATATACTTAAAGCCTTAAAAAAATCCCCAAATATAACATGAAAAGGCCAAAGTTTGCAATGCCAGGAAGTAGTTATAAACTACTTCATATGTTTGAAATAAAAAGTACTTCAGTATTATTATTAAAAAAAACCCTATTGGTAGAGTTTTTAATAGGAAAAAATACATATCTTTAAAAGCCAAAATGACCAGTGAAATTAGGTTGTACATCATTTTCTGGGAAAAAGGAAAAACAGCCTCGACAGGTGTAATTTATCATTTTTCTGATTTAATACCAAAGAAATATATTAAAATAATAAAAAGAATCCTGAAATCCTCAAAATTTGTAGTGATAAATAGCCCTCCCTGTCTTTATTGCATTATGCCTACTAACAGAAATATTGCATGGTGGATTTCGCCAGACAAGGACGATTATTTTCCAATAAAAAGTTGCATATTAAATTCCAGCACAAAAGTGGGTGTCTAATACTTTTGAAATCTTTTATGGTTTGCCAGGGAACACAATTTTAAACTTAACTAATACAAGCTCAGGGTGAAGTGAAGCAGCATTGAAGCTGCCTGGGCTCAACCCCACCCCTCCAAGCAGCAGAGCAACCATTCTCAGAGTTCCTCCTGGAATCATTCCAATGGAACTCATTGGGGGTATTTGTTTCTTCAGCTGATCTCTCTTTTTGCTGGTCTTTCAACACTTTACACTGCTGATAAAGAAGTTTATTCATTTAAAAGAAGAGGACAGTGCTGCTGGACAGCCTGAGCACACAGCAGGGTCTGAAAGCACTCTCACAAGAGTTTTCCAGTTTCTGCAAAGAAAAACCCCAGAGGTTCATCACAATGCCTATCTTCAAGAGAACTTAGACTATTAAATATCTCCTTTTTCATCCTTTCTAGGTCCTGATATTATTGCGTCTATTCCACGAGCAGAAACTCATTTATTGCAAATATAATGTGAGCAATCTGAAAGCTATCCTGACTTCCCAGCCTTGGAAAGGATTATTTGCACCAACAGGGTACCTTGACCCTACTTCTGGAGAGCTCCCATGAGAATCCATTCCTTTCCCAGCCTCCAGAAGACAGCAGGAGATGCTGAATGCTTGCTGGCTGTGCAGCAATGTGAGGTGATTCTGTCGGGAAGCACAGCAATAACAAGGCAAGCACTCGCTCACAGGGGCCCTGTGCTACATTTCATGGGGATTCTGAAAGTGTTCTGAATCCTACAGAAGCAATAAGTATCCAGTAGAAAAGAGGAGAGAGCTCATTAGTTCCTTCATAAATCTTGTTAATGAAATAAATGTCTCTCATTCTGGTTTTGTTGAATTCCTTAGCAATGTTTCAAGTCCTTTCCAGTCTGATTTCTGTGATGCCATGAGAAAATAAACACATGCATATTTAAAATATCAAGTTAGCTGCTTAATGGTATTTCAAGTCAGCATATAGAAGTACACCTTGTATGGTTTTCATTAAACAAAATTCACTTATGGAATGTGAAAACCCACACTCATCTTTCAACCCAAGGAAATATATTAAAATTATTCCTACAGTATTAGAGTTCTATGGAGAAATAAAATGATACCAATTGTCATATTCCAGGTGCCTTCCCCTCTGTTTGTGTAACAACCCCCTCTAGAAAATTACTGAAAAGTTGCTTTCGTGAGCCCTGGTGGTTTATTATCTGTCATCCACCTTTAAATATTGTGTCATATCAAACACTGCTACCAGGGGGTTTTTTTCTATCTTCTTGCTTGACTGACTGAACACTCCAGGAACAAACATTCTTCTGCAACTTATGGTAAGTGAATATTAATTAGAATAAGTACAAAAGGCTTCAACAGAGAGCAAGTTAGCATCCATGACTGGATAAGAATTTCACAAAAATATCTGAACCCAGATGAAAATGCACATGAAAAGTCACGATTGCTTCATCAGTGACACTGAGGAACCCCAAACCAGGAATGACAAGACATTTCAAGAGGCTTTTGGGGAAACCCTGCAGCCCCACCGCCTTCTGCAGGTTCAGGGTGAGAGGTGGGGCAGAGGCAGGACCTGCACAGCTGCAAGACCCTGCACAGCTGCAGACCCTGCACAGCTGCAGGACCTTGCACAGCTGCAGACCCTGCACAGCTGCAGGACCTTGCACAGCTGCAGGACCCCAGGGAGCTGGAAGGGAACCTCCTGTGCTCACCTGCTCCACCCAGCAGAAGGGGAAGAGGCGGCGTTGGCCTTGGGATGGAGGTGGGAAACTGCTGCCAGTGAAGTGTAGGAATGTAATTTTTCTAGTGTGGTTACAGAATCCCAGAGTGGGTCAGCTGAGGGACCCCAGGGCTCAGCTGTGTCACCTCCTGCCCCAGCAGGGCCATCCCAGAGCTCAGGGCACAGCAGGGTGTGCTCACAGCTCTGCAATGTCCCCAGGCAGGGACACTGCACAGCCCCTGCACATCGAAGTTCTGCCTCCTGGGCAGGTGGAAATTCTGGGAATCCGTTTGTGCCTATTGCCTCTTGTCCTGTTTTTGGCACCAGTGAGCAGAGCTTGGTCCATTCTCTAACACCCTGCATTTGGATACCAGCCTGCTCAAACAAAAGGGCCCCATGACTGGGAGCCCTGGCACCTATTCCTGACCATGACATCAAACCCACAGAATCAGCTGAGTTGGAAGGGGATCACTGAGTCCAACTCCTGGACAGAACATCCCCAAAAGTCACATCCCGTGACTGAGAGCACAGCCCAAACCCCCCTGGACTCTGCCAGGGTGTGCTGTGCCCACTGCCCTGGGAGCCAGCGGTGCCCCAGGCGTCAGGGAAATGGGGCAGCCCAGCTTTGTCTGCTCAGTTTCCCTGGCTGTGGAATGTGCACAGTGATTCTCACTTTCAGCTTCACATCCATTGATGACAGACTGTGAAGTAAGAGATATCATCAGCACCAGCTATTTATACTGTGATGCAGTAGGATTTCATTTTTGAGAGAAGAGAACCTGAAGAAGAGATGGAAAACACCTTAAAATCAGCACTGATTATTGAATTTACACAGTCATAGGCTAGGGAATGTGTACAACACATAAACTATTTTTTTCAGGAAGTTTTACACTCAACAGAGTTTCAAGCACCTAAATGTTTAGTATTATTTGCTCAGGAAAAGACACATAACAATGCAATTACCAAAGCAAATCCTCAATTTAAATTTACAGACAGACATTGATTTACTTTATAAAATCTCTATGAAGAGCTATATGGGTTCAGATTGCCCTAAAGAAATAGCTCCTTCAAACAAGTCCATAATTCACAGTTTATCCCTACTATGGAGGTTCTGGAGATGTTTATAGTTGCACTAAATCCTTAACAAGTATATACCATACAAAGCAATAGAAAGGAACTTGAACTACCCAGATTTGACACCAATATCAAAACCATAAAAAGGCTGTTTTACAAAAGAGCAGAATCTTTATCCTTCAGCTACAAGACATTTAAAGAAAAACAAGAAGCCATGGTGACAGCTTGGAGGGAAAATTAAAGGAAGGAAGTCTCCTCATCCAGCATTCAGGGTACTTTTGTCTGCATCTGTTCTTTTGGTTCAGGGTTGTATTTGGATGCTGAAAGATGGAGCAATACTATAAAAGCTGGAGAGTACTCTGGAGTGAACAGAGGCAATCACAGAAATTCCCATTTCTGTTTTGGCCTTGCCAGTATCAGGTAAGATGAAACACACATAAAATATAGTTTTTAAAGAAACATACGCAAAACTTTATATAAGTATCTGAGAAAACTTCTAAAGATCTAGAGCTCAATCTCATAATACAAAAAGCAGTTTTCCAGTATGTAAGGAAGAGAAGCAAGGAATAAAAGAGCAGAAAAATTTACAGATCTCAGAGAAATCATGGCAAGACAGCTCTTAAATCCAGGGGCCATGGTCCCTCTGTCACTCAAGTGATTTAGTGATTTAAAAGATGAACTAAAAGTTACAGAGTCAAAGGAGATAACCATGAAATTTCAGATGAGCCATCCTCTTGCCAGGAGGCCCTGAACCTCTTTTCTGAAAGGCAATGGCAGGTTCACCATCACAGTGCAGAGGAATTGCAGGAACACAGGAATTTCTGCTCACACATGGGTTGCTGAACCTCCCATGCACAGGGGAGCTGGGAATGAGCCAAAGCAGCAGTTGCAAGAGTTAAGCTGCTAACAGCCAGAAGAGGGGATGACTGCCATAAAGCACCAAATTTGGCTGAGGTGGCTGTTTTGGGGTTTTGTTTGCCTGTTAAATAATTAAAGAGTGAAAACCTTTTAAGCTTATCTAAGAATTACATGAATTGGGAATGTAAATTTATGAACAGTCTTGGTCACAAGTTAAGGATATTACAAGTGTAGTTGCATTACAGAAAAGATGGAAAACAACTCCTACATTTTAAACAAAACTTTCAAAGTTGCTATCCAATTCCCATTACAGTGTAAAGAAAAATGGGGCTTCCAAAATCCTTGAAAAGACACTGAAATCTGTTCCTTATGTGGTGCTGAAATTTCAGTTAAAACACAGAGGCAAGAAAACTCTGTACAGTCAGGTTTTAATTATTTCTGATAGATTATCATCACTTACCCTGAAAGCTCTCGGTGGCTCAGACAGCAATGGGATATATACTTTTCATTAGAGCTGGACAAAGGTGAATAGTTAAAAACTGCACGTTCTATCATGAGTAAAAGTACTGAATTTTTGTTTGCTGTGATTCAAGGGGCCATTCAGTGTAAGTGTTCCAAAAAATATTCAGAGATCCACACTGAAAAGTTGTGACATGGAAAATCCCTCTATTGACACATATGTGCATTCACCACAGTGACATCCCACATCAATGTTTGGACATGCACCTCTTATTTATGTTACACTTATTTTATCATGACCAGAAATATGAAATACTTGAGAAAACATTTTATAAATCCACCTCATGAAAAATCATTTCCATGTGATTTTGATAACCGAAAAAATCCCAGAAGAGGTTCACAAAGGGTAAGGGAAGAAAAGGAAAGGTGATTGCAGCCAAAATAATGACAAGGCACTTCCAGCCCAGGCTCAAGCAGCAGGTGCAACCAAAACTCCTCCAGTCTCAGCATTTCCTCACCTCTGCAGGGAAGAACCAAGGCAGGTGGGCCCCTACTGAAAGAAGAACTGGATCTGTGGGGTAAGACAGAAGAGTAGACCAGTGGCTTTCTAAAGTTCCTGTGGCTAAAGCACAGGAGGAACAGGTGAATGGGCTCTCAGTCAGGGATTCTGCCTGCTGCTGCTACAAATGTGCTAGGAATATTCCCAATAACAGAGCACCAGGAATGCTGCCAGACTGGATTGTCCCATCAGACCGTTGGGTTTGGATTATATAGATCAATATGCTGATTTCACACCCAGAATTTTTACCTGGCATGCTACCACTGGGAAGAAGACCCTCACTGCCACAAACACAGCAGTGTTTATCTAGGATTCACAGCTGCTTCTTACAGCCACTCAGTGAATGTCCATGTCAGGTGGTAGCATCTATTCTGTTAAATATGATCTTCAATCTAATCAATTAACAACTCAGAGCTTTATGAAAACACAGTAGGCCACAAGGAAAGAGAAAATAAAACTACAATGTGTAATCTAAAAAGCAGCGCTGATTTTTTGCTTTTTATGTACCTTGTTTTCTTTTAAAATCTTCCATGTAACACTAAAACCCATTAACACTAAACTATTTAACATAAAGAAACTAATTTTTTAAAACTTAATTTACAGTAATTGTGCAAACACAACCCTATCCTATCAAAATGCATGTAGGGCTGCTCATACAACTTGTTAAGGGATGCTATTCCTTCAAGTGGCAAACATAACAGAGAATTCCTCTCAATGGCAGCAATGAGTAGCAAGAGAAGCAAACTGATGGTATCTAGAAAAGAGCCCTCTGCCTCCTTTTTCCTCAGCTGTTCGAGGCTCACTGCAGTTTGAAACAACCAAACACAGCCCAGCCATCAGGCCCCATGGCATGGGCTGCCTCCCAAAACTCCTCAGTAACACCATCAGCATTTTTTCATCCATCACCCTCCACTGACCTGTCTTCAAAGGGTATAAATAAATATCAGGGTTGGATGGGCACTGTTGTTATCCTAAGGCAAGATACAACACTCGGCTTCTGGTTTGAGGAAGGAAAGTGTTTATGCCTTGTGTTCCACAAATATTTCAGTACTGTCCCAGCAGGTCACAGCCAGCCTGGTGACACCAGCAGAGAGCTGCGTCCAGCAGGCCAAGGTTTCCGGGGAGTGTTCAAAGGTCCTGTAAGCCAGATTGAGAGGACAGCAAGCAAATGACCAGACACAGCAATTCCCTCACTGCAAAATGAAGAGGTCAGACACTTGTTTCTCTTTCTCCAGGCACACATGGGCCACATTGTCTCCTGGGGACTCCCAGATTTTTTTTGTGTATATTCAGTTTTTCAGAGGGATCATTTTGTTTTGCTTCAAGAGAAAAAATTATTTTAGATTAAACTCTTTTTGTGTCAGGAGAAATTAGTAAATATCATGAAGGCCATACGTAATAAAAACCAAAATCCTGGTAATTTTGCTGGCAGCCAAGGAAAGCTGCTGTTGCTGTAGAGGAATGGTATGTTCTCCAGAGTAATTGTCCAGCAATATTCTTAAGAGAGAGTACTGCAGCACTTCTCTGCCAAAATAACAAATACTATGTTATTCTGCAAATGCCAGAGATGTGAAGACAGGTGATGATGATGCGTCTTGTCCTTCAG